CCTGTTGCAATATTTAGTGGGGATGTTGTAAGCAGGAAGCATACTCAGCAGCCTTGCATGCCAAAATTTGTCAAAAGCCTTCGAGATATCGAGTGAAACTTCTGCTTCACCATTCTTCTCGATGGCCTCGCCCCAGAAGTCCATGACATACATAAGAAGAACCTCAGTGGACCGTCCCCGGTGGAAGCCATATTTGTGGTCACTTTGGAGCTTACTGTTACTGTTACAATACTTTTTCCATAATTTTACAGAGTATGGAGGTGATGGCGGTTGGTCATTAATTACAGGAATCGGCACGACTGCCTTATTTATTTACTGGTTGCATATTGGCAAGCTTCCAAGATTTGGACGCCGTTCGAGTTTTAAGAGAGTGGCGGTATAGGCTCGTCAGGCAGAAACAAGTCAGGCGCACAATGGTCTAGTACCCTTGCAGGAATACCATCAGGTCCACTGGTCTTGTTCACCTCTAGGATTTGCAAAGCTCTACGTACCTCTTTCGTATGGATAGTGACCTTCGGCATCGAAGATTCACAGCAAGGTAGGGTTGGTGTTTGTTTTGAACCAGCATCTAGACGAGATTTACTCGCGAACAGAGATGCAAATAAATTTGCTTTCTCAGTCGCGGAGTGAGCCAGTGTTTCATCAGGTTTCTGCATGGGTGGCAATAAGGGACGGCAGAAGTTGAGTTCGACATCCTTTGACAGAGGTCAAAACATACTACGGTACGGATAGGGAGCTAGTTTGGCCCCTACACGATAGGTACGATACGACTGACATGGTCGAATCGTGCCTTGTGGAGAACCTTGAAACTCGAAAACTTGGCACCTGAATTAAAATCTCTCTTCTTTGCAGGAACACTCCAAGCTCTAACTTTCCGATCGCGTGCTTGAACCCAGGCATGGTAGGGGGACTCTTATCGGGCCTCAGCACGAGCACGGTCCGTATTATACCACGGTAGAGCCTTGTGACCGAGCGCAATATCGGAGAACGGAATCATCATCATTCATCATTACAGCCCTTCACAAGTCCACTGCTGAACATAGGCCTCCCCCAAAGAATGCCACAAAGCACGGTCCTGAGCCACCTGCATCCATCGACTTCCTGCATGTCTTACCAGGTCGTCACTCCATCTCGTGGGGGGACGCCCTACACTTCGCCTACCGGTACGAGGCTGCCACTCGAGAACCTTTCTTCCCCATCGGTTGTCGGTTCTTCGAGCTATATGGCCGGCCCACTGCCACTTCAGCTTACTAATCCGTTGGGCTATGTCGGTCACTCTAGTTCTACTGCGGATATCCTCATTCCTAAGTTTATCACGCAGAGAAACTCCGAGCATAGCCCTCTCCATAGCTCGCTGAGCGACCTTGAGCTTCCTCATACGGCCAGCAGTGAAGGACCACGTCTCAGTTCCGTAAGTCATCACTGGCAACACGCACTGGTTGTACAATTTCGTTTTAAGGTTTTGAGGTATGTCTGACGAGAAGATGTGTCGTAGCTTCCCGAACGCTGCCCAGCCGAGTTGAATCCGTCTATTGACCTCTCGGTCGAAGTTGGACTTACCCAGTCGGACTATTTGTCCCAGGTAAACATACTCGTCAACAACTTCGAGCTTAGTGCTCCCAACAACTACCGGCATAGGTGTGACATGGACATTAAACATGATCTTTGTTTTGTCCATGTTCATCTTAAGACCTATCCGTTGGGAAACACTATTGAGGTCATTGAGCATAGTGCTTAGGTCCTCCAGCGATTCTGCCATAAGGACTATATCGTCGGCAAATCGAAGGTGAGTGATGTACTCGCCATTGATGTTGATACCGTATCCTTTCCAGTCCAGAAGCTTGAAAACGTCTTCCAATGCAGCGGTGAAGAGTTTCGGGGATATGACGTCACCCTGTCTTACACCTCTCTGCAATTGGATAGGTTTCGTACTCTGGTTCTGTACTCGGATAGCCATCGTAGCCCTACTGTACAAGCACTTCAACATTTCGATATACCGACAGTCAACTTGGCACCGCTGAAGGGACTGCAGCACCGCCCAAATTTCGACGGAATCAAAGGCTTTCTCATAGTCCACATACGCCAGACATAGTGGCAAATTGTACTCTTCGGACTAAAACGAAACAACTAGAACGGAATAAAATATTTCATTCCCTGCTGTATCACGTCTTCAACCGCATCGGTAGAACAGGAGGCTTCATCCGAATAAAAGTGCACTTGCCGCCACGGATAGGAGAAAAAGAAGTTCCGCTCTCATCGTAGTCCGCTGATTCGTATTCCTCGGTCACACCAAACCATTCGTGTTAGAAAGTATAATATAGCGCCATTTCGGTAATCTCGAGTGCTAAATCTAAAGCCGCAAGCACCATTATGAGACTGCGTCGAGGCGTCAAGTTGTCTCACACACAATGTTATTTAGTAACTCAGTCTAGTTCAATCTTTATCCAACTACGGTGATGCGTCGATGAGTATTAGAGCCAGCCCTTCCAATACAGTCTATATAAGTCCACTGCTGAACGAACGAATCCGCCATAGATTGCCTCATAGCGGGAATTTTGTCACTGTTTCCACGCTTGACTGCCGCAGTTTTCTCCCATCTCCTGTTTTAGTTTTTTTATAGGATAAGGGTGGCAAACGAGCACACAGTCCGCCTGATGGTAAGTGGTTGCTGTGACCCATAAAAATCTAAATCTATCCTCGATTACGAATCAAAATGTTGATGCGTTGACACCCGTGAGCAGTAAGATGGAATGCCTCGTTTCCCGTACAAAGTGTCTTCGGTTCTCTACACTCACCATACGAAACACAGCAGCGTTAAGCTGCTATTTTACGCTGGTATTCTGTGCGAATGTGGTCCTTCCCCGGTCGAGCCGACCCGTTCGTACTACAACTATACCACTTAAAAGTCCCTCCCGCTCCCGTCCAGTTTCCCTCTGCTACCCCTTACGCCACCACGGACGAAAGGAGGTAATAGATATTATTACACCGTCACTAGACTTACTCACTAGGTTAGAGCTATGCTGATATATTATGGTTGTAGCACGGATTGGTCGGCTAGACCAGGGAAAGACCACGCACGTGAAATAGCAGCTTATTTTTACAGTGTTTCGTATGGTGGATGTAGAGGACCCGAGATCCTTTTCACTGAACACGAGGCATTCCTTTTGATCCTCAGGAGTAACAACGCAACTGCATTTTGACTATCGAGGATAAATGTAGGTGTGTGTGGACCACAGCATCCACTTACCACCAGGTAAACTTTGTGCTCGCTTTTCACCCTTATTCTGAAAAAAAAATTATTATTAAAAAGTTTTCTTTTCAAAAAAAGACAACTTTGAAAAGTTGTTTTTCATGCTTTTGATCTTTTTTGAACTGCATAAACAAGCCTCACAGAATACCAGCGTAAAATAGCAGCTTAACACTGCTGTGTTTCGTATGGTGAGTGTAGAGAACCGGAGACCATTTTTACTGGAAAAGAAGCATTCCATCTTAGTCCTCACGGGTGACAACGCATCTGCATTTTGAGTCTTTATTGAGGATATATAAAGATGTCTATGGGTCACAGCAACCACTTACCATCAGGTGGACTATATGCTCGTTTGTCACCTTCTCCTATAAAAAAAGACGAAATAACTTTAGTTTGTGCGCCAGTCGTGACTTTGCATCAGTTTAGTTTTTTTCATGTTTATTTATGTACGATACAGCATGTTTCATTCATTAATTTATATGTATTTCATAAAATACCTACACTCACCATCAAAACGTTGTAATGTAATTCTAGGATGGACTTTTAACTGAACATTTTTTTGCGCCTCTGTTAAATGTAAGATGTTCTCCTTCGATTGATAAGTAATTATTTTATACGTGGTAGAGCCACGCCGCAGCTATATTAAGATTGTAGCACGAATAGGTCGACTCAACGTGGATGTCTTATGTCTTATACGCTCTTAGAGAATATCTATATATATTAGAGAATAGCTTAATGTTGCTGTGTTTCGTATGGTGAGTGTAGAAACCCGGAGACCAGTGTTACCTACAAACTTGAATTTTTCCGAATTCGTAAATTGGTAAAACAATCCGTAGAATTCTGCAGATGCTATTTCAAAATATCCGTAGATCTGCAGACTTCTTAAGAAGATCGAAAATTTTTGTTTTTGTCAAATAATAGATACATTTTTTGGAGAAATTCTTTCTGTCATGTAAAATTCTTGTTGTAAATTCAATTGTAGTATAACATCGAATCAAGCTGCACATAAATTGTATATAAAATACGAAGAAAAATTTTCCTCGACCTCATATGAGAAAAAAACACCATAAAAATTTATTAAAAATTAATTAATTCCTATTAATTACATTATTTTTAGGATAAAACAAATAAAATAATTTGTGGATAGTTATACTAATTTAATCGTGAAAAAAATTTCATCCAAAATTGAAATAAATGCACCATGTATTTGGAAAAGGAATATCTGCCTTTCTTATCTGTCAAAGTCAATTGTCGACGATTGTCGGTTGTCGGCGGCATATATATACATATATTTATCATCTTAGTTATATCATTATTTTATCTTCTCCTCATCCTTTATGAGTACATTACTGTTCACAGCTGGATATAGGACTAGATGTCTCACACCGATGAAGCTGCTTCACGCTAACGGTCTATTCACTGTTATAAATTTCTGACTTTCCCCATAGTTGTCTCTTACAAAACTCACTGGACAAATGGGCTGATTGTTGTAAGTTATTGCAAGGGTAATCACGTACTACTAAATTCCATTTCATCTATCCTTTACAGCAGATTAAAGTCCACTGCCACGCCTGGCAGTCGTGCTAGGCGTGCGTTTAAGAAGATGCTGCTGCCCATCTCCCGTTCCAGTTCCTCCATCGCCTCTTACGACACCCACGTAACGATATGGACTAGTGGATATTTTTACACCACCACTACGTGGGTTGCCTACTATAACTAAATAAGGTTAATTTGAATTAAACAAAAATATAATTAAATAATAAAAACATTTATTATTTTATATGTATAAACCTTTAATTATAATGTAACAATTACTGCTATAATAATTTATAAAATTATAAAACTTAATTAATATGAACGATATAAAGTTTACTTATCGCTGGGCATCTTATTTCTAAAAGAGTTCCAGTGCTTGGTGAAAAAACTTATTCATACATTAATAATATATACATACCCATCTTTGTCTACAAACTTATTGCATAATTGAACTATTTAAAAGAACAGAACACCTTGCCCGGCGGTAGATCTCCCCTTTTCCTTCCACCGGCTACAGTGGTGACCGCGAGGTGATGTGAACACGCAACCAACAACCTTGGGAAATTTTGTTAGCGCGATTTAGGCTTCGATGTTTTTCACTTGTGGCGCGACGACAGCGCCGCCACAGATTGTATATTATTTTTGTTTTTGAAGTCGGTTTTTTTACAATTCTATTATTTGAACTCTTTTGAGCGGACTAAGCAACTTTACAAACTCAACGTAAACTACTGGAATGTCGTCTAATTCACCACAATTCCATTTTAAGTACAGATAGAATTTAAAATAAGCCTCACCAGACAGACTGTGTCTTAGGGGGCGATATTTTTCATAGTTGGCACGCTTGGCAGGCAGGTTGGTAACTGCATTGTTTTGGTAACCAAATCAGCACCTAGGACTACAGTGTTGGCAGACTTACCACTTCGAAATATATTTTATTTCTCAGACATGCATGTAGACCTGGTAGATTCCTCGTATTTAATTCAAATAATTAATTAAAAATATTGTTAACTATTGTAAATATAGATTGTAATCCCTAATTTCAAATCATTAAGTAGCTATTGACTAGGTGTATAATAAAAATATTGCAAACAGTAAACGGCTCATAAAATCATGTGTAAAAATGGGAACTACTTCTGTAATACCATAGTCAAAACTCACATCAACAGCAAAATACAAAAACACACACACACACACACACACACACACACACACACTCACACGCACACACACTCACACACACACACACACACACACACACACACACACACATATATATATATACACACACACACACACACACAGACACACAAACATACGCAAACATAAACATATAGGAACTCCGTTTGACATGCTCGTATAAATACATGTGAAGCACACGTCTTCCACGATTCGCTATCTCTTTCTTACAAATAGTGTATATCGCTGCCACGACTTTGAAATGAAATTTTAGAGTTATTTTGTTGAGCATAAAGCACAAAAAATAAAACTCTACATTATTTTTAACATTAAATTAGTGGTATTGATTCGAAAGGTAAACATCGCCTTATTACAGCCCCCGCATAAACTAGACCTATACAGAACGACCTAACAAAAGGTATATGAAGAGATTGCTCCGAAAGGTCGAGTGAAATTGGAATGAACATCAGAACATGCAATTCTTACTTCTACGGCGATTGTAATAAGAACGGTACAAATTTAATGTGTAAAGCTCCAGGAATAAATAAATAAGATTTGCATTTGACTACATTTTTTTGAGTCTCTAGGTAGGTGGGGGCAGCACTTCCCTGCCCCCTCTTGGTGACGCCCTTGGGTAGGGCTCCTTTTCTATCTAAGAGTCAACACAGGCAGCAGTAAACATGACTGCTGTGATCCAGTTTGAAGGGTGAGAGAACCAGTGTTATTTTAAATTTTGAGGATCCACGAGTTGACATATTTTCTTGATGAAAGTTGGCAACCCGCTGCTATACACAAATGAACATATTATTAATTATTATCTACATTCCAATATTATTTGCAGGTCCAGCCTCCTGTTCTACAGGTGGTTCACTCTTATCCCGTTTTGCCGCCTTGTTCATGAAGACAACGGTGGTGATGGTGATTAGTAAAGAGAACAGTATGATGGCGGCACACACGGCGCCCGTCACAAACGGGAACATTTTGTTCTGTAGTTGACATCTGCCGTTCTCATACCAGTTGCAAGTACGAGCTGAAACAAAATAAATAATTGAAATTGATATCTACGAATACTTTGCAATCAAATTCTAAAAATCACTGACTTGATTTTAATCATATTTATTTTCAATCTTGTGTATTGCCCCTGGACTTGGTTTTTTCCAAAAACCTCATGAAACGTAACCGAAAAAATGCAAACGATTATATTTAAAAATGTAACATATATGCATAAGAAATATTGTGTTGGCCTATTCTTAGAACTATCAAAAGGATTTGATTGTGATATATTAAATATTTTTTTAAGCAATTTCATTATTATGTGAGTAGGTGTAAACCTCACCAACAGAGTTCTAGCTATAATCTTAGATCATGTAACAGAAACTCAAAAGCTTTACGAATTCAGTCTGACTCTTAAAAGATGCCCCATGATTATATCAAGGGAGTGTATTGGGACCCCTGTTATTTTTGATATATAGTTTGAGTTATAGTCAATATGTCAATGAGTTAACCTCCATTATCTCACTGGTACTACGGTATGAGTATGAGATATGTTTCTATTAATATTAAAAATTCAAATTCTACAAGGGCCATGACTAGAAATTTAACACAAATTTGAAATCGCCCCCGTAAAATATAGTGTCGTACAAATTGTTACACTCTATTCTTATCTTTTCACACCCTAAAGATTTGAATTTTACTAAATGCCATCTTAGTGGATGCCTTCCTATCCAATAAAAGACAGCCATTGTCCTAATTTTACGCTTTTACAATCAGCAGTTGAGGCTGCGCGTCTAAATACAATATTTTTCATAAAAACGTTGCACCCCAATTTTAAAAGATTTAAAAAATAATAATGGATATATTTTTTATTATATTTATTTATTTCGGGTGTATTAAATTACTCACCGGGGTTGTTTCACCACTAATTTATGAAAAAGTATTATTGAGAAATAAATGTATTTTTTTTTATTATATTAATTAATGAGTATTTGCACCTGTTTTTAAATAAAAAATACCCTCCTTATAAATTTTAACACCCTCTGCAGCCACTATAAGACAACGTTTTGAAAAGTCGCAAAATAAGTTTTTATTTATTTTCATAGAATACTTTCAGTAAGTTTCGAGTCAATCGTCCCGAAAAAGTGCAACATCCTGCATTACTGAGCCATCAAGAATATGTAGATTACTTATAACGGTTGGAATATTGGCTTACCACTAATCCCAAGGAATAAGAGATGACCGCAACAAAATGCAAAGAGTGCGACGGCGCTACTGATCAAGCCGACCAGAACGGACTTGTCGCGGTTGTCCACGGAGCGCAGCATCACCATGCCGTGCGCTTGGATAGCCAACGCTGAAACAAAATAATTTTCATAAAAGTATTTTCTCTCTTTGTACATGATGGGACTACAAAACAACGCATTCTAGCTGCATTACGAATGGGTCCACCACCGAAGGGCTACGCGCTTACACCAGGGTTAAACAGTGCTGTGTTTCGTACAAAGATAGCTTTATAAATATTAGGTTTCGTATCATGAGTGATACGAAACCTAGTATAAAGTTATCTTTAGTCGCAGGTAAAAATTATAAAAAAAAATTAACTCACCAGAACCAGAGAGCATCACTGTATAGAGTAACTCGTGCAGCCCGAATATCCCCCTGCAGGAGTAGTCACTGCAGGATCCGCGTATAGCGCGGCCGGTCAATGGAGCACAAGTGCAATTCGTGTACACCCTGTAGCCAAAACAGTGATCTAATTGTAAAACGATAGACTTTCAATATAAGAAACACGTGATGTAACTGGCACCATTACCGTTACAGCTCTTCAAAAGGCCTCTGTTGAACATTGGTGTCCAAAATAGATAGCCTATAGGTGGGATATTGGTCATAGTTTATTATCAGGAAGACGCTGCCGCCCACCTCCTGGTTTGATTTCCTCCGTCGCCTCTTACGGCACCCACGGGACGATATGGGGTAGTGTATATTTTTACATCGCCACTACACGATCACACGCGCAAAAGATAATATAATTTCTTTGTTTAAGTACACCATACTGAATTATCATAAGAGAATCCATTATAACAGAAAGACCTTGGAGATCTTGTGGCCTCCGATTGATTGCGATATAAGGATCAGACCGATGATGATGATGATGCGGTGTAGTGTCAAAGATGCAGGCCATCTGGTACTACGCTAGCTAATCCAATTTCCAAGCGTGGTGATTACAGCAAATTTTTGATATGGAACGACAACCAGCGCTGCCTTTGCAGTATTATACTGAGTTGGAGACTTAGACATTTTGTCACATTTTGAAATTCTTTTATGATTTGTTTTTTTTTTGTTTCATTATTATTAATTAACGATGTATTGTTTCTTAATAATTTTTAATGCGAAAGCAGTCTAAGACTTTTGCATGCATATTTTTGCCCTTTTCGTTTGTATATTTCTTGAATTGTGTGTAAATTATGTATATCAAATAAATATTACTTTCTTTCTTTCTAAATGAAATGAATTTTTTTTATAGGATAGGGTGGCAAACGAGCACACAGTCCACCTGATGGTAAGTGGTTATTGTGACCCATAGACATCTACATCTATCCTCAATAAAGATTCAAGATGCAGATGCGTTGTCACCAGTGAGGACTAAGATGGAATGCCTCTTTTCCAGTAAAAAGGGTCTCTGGTTCTCTACATCCGGTTACCATACGAAACACAGCAGCGTTGAGCTGCTATTTTACGCTGGTTTTCTGTGAGAGCGTGGTCCTTCCCCGGTCGAGCCGACCCATTCGTGCTACAGCTATACTACTAATATAGCTGCAGCATGGTTCTACCACGTTGTTTGAGGTAACAAAATAAAATTTCGTTTGTCAAATGAATTTTTTTTCAAGTCTTACGTCTTCTGACCGGAGAAGGAAACTTCGAAGATGTCCGCTTTTTTGAGTTTTTTTTTAAGTTAATATTTCTTAGTATATGTAGAATGGAATAGGATAACAGACTCATCGGTAACTGAAGTATGTTCTATGATTTATTAAAACAGGACGAAAAAAATTGCGCTTATTAGTGTATAGCAAACCCGAGCAGACCAGCCTCCACAAGCAGTAATCTCCATTTCATAATGTTTTTTTTTATAGGATAAGGGTGACAAACGAGCATACAGACCACCTGATGGTAAGTGGTTGCTGTGGCCCATAGACATCTACATCTATCTTCGATTAAGAATCAAAATGCAGATGCGTTGTCACCCGTGAGGTCTAAGATGGAATGCCTCGTTTCGAGTAAAAAGGGTCTCCGGTTCTCTACACTCACCATACGAAATACAGCAGCGTTAAGCTGCTATTTTACGCTGGTATTCTGTGAGAGCGTGGTCCTTCCCCGGTCGAGCCGACCCATTCGTGCTACAACTATAATATAGCTGCGGCATGGCTCTACCACGTATAAAAACATTAAAATGTAACATTACCTATTATTAAATGTACATTTTATTTAAAAATTTCTCCCACCCGCCTATACTTATTTTTATCTTTCTTTAGAATCTATATCTATAAGATATATTAAATATATCAAATTTACGTGACCAGTATATTAACCATATTTTGATTTTTCTAAAGGTTTAAATATAGGCCGTTTAATAGATTTATTATGGCGTGATCGTTTAGCTAGGACCCTTATTGACGTTGTAATTGTATAGTAACTTAGTTCTTTTAGGCGTCTCTTGGAAGAATGAATATTCACTAGAGTAGCAGCAAGCTGTTGGTAGCGTCTTATAAAGAACCCTTTTCACGAAGACAGAGCTCAAAAAAAGTTAAGAACAATAAATTGTCCCTATTCCACTTGTATCAGGTTCACAACAGTCAATTCCTTATTAATTGATCCCTCCCCGCTTGGAAAAGGCTCACAATATTTATCTAATTATAAATAAATTCCAAAGAATATATAGATATTCTCCTTTTCCTTGGAATTTTGGTATATGGTGCAGTTATACGATGGTACCTTCGTATGTATTGATAGATAAAAAGTTTTCTTACGCTTAGTATTCAGGCTTTTTCATACACTAGTGTGGTTGGATAACGAAATGGAAGTAATAGTTACTTTTAAAATACATCGTTGGGCACGTTCAGCTTCGACAAGAATTGTCTTACAAGCCCCGCCCCGTGAACAGATACCGTAACAAATTAAAGATTCACAGAGAGTCCTGTAAGTTTGCAACAATAACTTTGGACTTGCTACAAGCCTTAGTAACTTAAAAACATAGACAAGCTCTCTTATCTTTTTACTAAGTGATATTATTTGATGTTTCCACTGAAGCTATTCGTCAATTATAATTCCCAAATATTTTATTGTGTTAGTTTTAGTTATGTAAGGGCAGTTACAATATATTGGAACAACATCAAATTTGTTACATGGACTTGTATGAATCTTTAATTTAAATTTGTCATTTGGTTGTCCCGCTAGAGTTTTGCTGAAACAGATTAATTTTGTTTAATCGACAGTTAAAATTCCAATTAACATTTCATTCGTGCCGGCGAGGATCAAAGGTTGCTCGTCTATTATGAAATTCACAGCGAGCGCTAACAATCTGACCCAATGCTCAATTAATTAATACTACAAATAATTATTCATCACCATCACAACCTATAACAGTCTACTGCTGAACATAAGCCTCCCCCATAGATTGCCTCATAGGGGATATTCTGCAATAGTTTCCACGCTTGGCAGGCGGGTTGACAACCGCAGTTTTTTTATTACTTTGAGTTGTTATTAGAGATTCTGCTGCCCATTTGTTACAGTTTCGATCACATTATTAATAAACCTAGCAAGCTAACAGCATAGCAAAGTGGCGAAACAATCAGCTTTGTAGCGGTTTCTAACGGTTGCCGTTGAGCAATCAGTTTCAAAATAGGAGGTTCAGATGCCTGGGTGATCACTAATCGATTGCTGAAAACAGAATTTGAAAATTTAAAACCGTTCTCGAGATAATCGTGGGACAGACGGACAGACGGACAGACATCGTGAAATCAATAAGTGACTTCGCAAGCTTCGCCACTTAATAATGCATTATAACACACAGCATAAATAATCATGTCGACAGATAATTATAAAAAAAAAGTTTCAAAACAAAAGCTAGACTAAAATAAAATGTATTTTAATTACTATTTATTTTACAGGAAAATGAGGGTAGCACACAAAATGAGATGACTATGGGCATATTTTAAAGATCGCATGCATGTTATGCACCAGTTAGTGAATTCTTGCAATTAAAAATACCAGTTTAGTATGACTATAAAGTAATCGGTGAAATCAAGCGATGGATGATTTACAACATCATCATCATCGGTCTGATTGTGGAATGACATATCACAAAGCCTCACCGGCACCATCACCGCGCATTGAAGTGTAGTAGTAGCGTAAAATAATCCACCACCCTATATCATCCTGGGGGTGTCAGAAAGACGACACAGAGAAACTTAAATAAGATATTATGAGCAGCACCGTTGTCCCGATAACAATTATCTTATCTTTATTCTATCTTTCTCAAGATTTAGAAAAGGCCTCTATGATCTTCTTGCAGAAAGTACTTTTCATAGCGTCAAAAAATTTCTACATTATAAATTTGACAAATGAACCACTGACTTCACTAATCATGGACATTTTTATTTTGTTAACTATTATTTTGACATTTTATCCTATTTAATAATATTTTTCTTTTTTATAGGATAAGGACAAACGAGCACACAATCCACCTGATGGTAAGTGGTTGCTGCGGCCCATAGACATCTACATCTATCCTCGATTATGAATCAAAATGTAGATGCGTTGTCACCCGTGAGGACTAAGATGGAATGCCTCATTTCCAGTAAAAAGGGCCTCCGGCCACCTGCACTCACCAAGCGAAACGCAGAGGTAAACCTCTACTTCACGCTGGTTTTCTGTGTGGTCGTGGTACTACCCCGGTTCGAGCCGGCCCATCCGTGCGACAGCAAAAGCTGCCGCGTGGCTCTACCACTGTTAAATTAATAATTGTCTGACATTTCTATTCTGTTTAATAATAATTAATAATTATCTAATAAGTAATCTATAATATAAAAATGAATCGCTGAATGTGTTGCTAAGCGCAAATCTCGAGAGCACCTGAACCGATTTCGCTAATTCTTTTTTATAATATTCCTTGAAGTACGAAGATGGTACTTACGGATAGGAAAATTTAAAAAATTGCCTGAAAAAGTCTAAAAACAACACTTTTCTATATTGCCATACAAAAGATTCGTAATAATACTTAAAAGTTAATTTGAACTTTAATACCATACCATAAAGTTTAAGTGTTAGTGGAGGGGTTCCGGGGAGGCAAAACGATTGAGTGACGTTAGTATCGTATAAATATTAATGTCAATATTTGGCACATAGCTGATTTTATAAGGAGTAACATGGGCTGCTTTTATTTTAGGGTTCCGCGAAAAATAACTCTACGCGGGCGAAGTCGCGGGGAACAGCTATTTATATATAAATTTAAATTTCAATGTATCTTTCAATATCTTGTAATTAATAACTTATTAATGAGTTACTGAATTAGCCACAGAATTAAAAATGATATTTGTATGCTTCTATGTAAGCGGTGAAACATGTTTGGCCTAAAGTGTATGTAATTAACACCTGTGTTTACCATGTTTGATGCAAATAAACAGTTTTGAATCTTTGAATTCAAAATAATGTAAAACTGTTATAAAAAAATATCCTCTCATATAAGTCAATCTATGGAGAAGCTTATGTTCAGGCTATAATGATAATGATGATGATGATGAATGATGACATCACAAAGGCTCGTTGGAAGTTACGATCATTGATTATACTCGTACTTACTGAATTCCGTTTATTCTTTCGACGCCCGAGCAGCCAGCGTGACACGGCGACATGTAGGTTATCATCTGGTCAGCAACGCAGACCGGTAAAATCTCTGGTCTTTCAATATCGCATCTAAAAATAAAGAAAATGATAAATTTCTTGGGCCCAGGGCTTCTCTCTTTTTTTATAGGATAAGGGCGACAAACGAGCATACAGTTCACCTGATGGTAAGTGGTTGCTGCGGCTCACAGACATCTACATCTATCCTTGATTACGAACCAAAATGCAGTTGCGTTGTCACCCGTGAGGACTAAGATGGAATGCCTTGTTTCCAGTAAAAAGAGTCTCTGGTTGTCTACACTCACCATACGAAACACGGCAGCGTTAAGCTGCTATTTTACGCCGGTGTTCTGTGAGAGCGTTTACCTTCCCCGGTCGAGCCGACTCATTCGTACTACAACTATACTACTAATATAGATGCAGCATGGCTCTACCACATACTCTTCAGAATAGCTGAATCGATTGTGATGAAACTTCACAAACAGATGGAGGGAGAGAGAGATATAGAAGATTTTCGAGAAATTAAAAACTTAATAGAATAGAATACAATAAAATAATTTCTATTCAATATAGATTATTACATAATATTTATTGATAGTCATTTTTTATTTACCACTTTTGTTACCTAACCAAAATTGTTTATTATTTTTGGTTAAAAAACGCGATAAAATCCGTAAAAAGTAGTTTCATTTAATTGTGCAGTGTTCCCGTAAACATTAGAAGTCATAATTTATGTCCATGCTATGAATCAAAACGTATTAAAAATATGCATTGCGAGTGCGGTCGAGACGCGCTGATCTAATCTGATATATTTTACTTTTTATATTACATTCTTAATATTTATTGGCTCACCCGCACGTTTGACTGCATTGTGGTTGCATATAGCTCATCTCCTGCAAGCCGGCAACCTTGCCCGTCGTACAAGGGAGCGCTCCCGACGCAAAATAAGCAAGGATCATCAAGGCATACGCTTTAATAGTAATGCTCAAAAGATCTTTCTTCTCGATTTTTTGCATCATTGGTGGTCCGAAAATCACTCCCAAAAACTAAAAATACATACAAGTAAAACTGAATAAAACCATGGCTACGGAAATATGAGTTCTATAACGTCCTACAATCACTGAATAGATAACTATTCATTCATTTATTATTTTACTCCACCAATTAATGCCACAAAACACGCTCCTGAGCCACCTGCATCCATCGCCTTTCTGTGCGTGTCGTCACTCCATTTAAAGGAGGGTCGCCCTACACTTCGCCTACTGGTACGAAGCTTTTTTTTATAGAAGAGGAGGCAAACGTGCATGCGGCTCGCCTGATGGTAAGTGACTACCACCGCCCATGATCAACCGCAACACCAGGGGAATCGCAGATGCGTTGCCAGCCTTTTAGAAAGGTGTAAGCTCTTTTCTTGAAGGTCCCTAAGTCATATCGGTCCGGCAAAATCGCCGGTGGTAAACAATTCCACAGAGAAGTTGTACGAGGAAGAAAACTCCTAGTAAAACGCACAGTGGTGTACCACGATGGTGCGGATGGTATCGTGTATTTTGACGCGATGTGCGTTCGTGTAATTTGGCGGCTGGAATTAATACAAACAATTCCTCAGAGCACTCCCCGTGGTACCCCGTGGCTGCCACTAGAGAACCATTTAATATTATATAAATTAATTATATCACTTACCACAGCTACAAAAACAACAATGTGTAAACGTAGTATCTCGGCATATTTTACCGCAAGATTCCTTTCCAAATGTAGATTGTATTTTGCCTGCAACATAAAAAAAAATCGTAGAGTAATGTAAAGTATCCACCGAAAACATAAAAGTCAAGACGGGGCCAAGTGACTTGGTAGAGCCACGCTGCAGCTATATTATGGTTGCAGCACGAATGAGTCGGCTTGACCAGGTTGGGAAAACGCTCTCACAAAATACCAATCTAAAATAGCAGCTTAATAATGCTGCTGTGTTTCATATGGTGAGTGTAGAGAACCGAATACCCTTTTTAGATATATGTATATTTATTAATCTCTTTTTTTTTTAAACTCAACTTTTCAGATAAAATGTAGATTAGATCCCTACTGGTACTGCTCTTTATCCGTATCGTTATGTTTCATCAGAATTAGTTTAGTCATTCCGAAGATTAGCCTGTACAGACAGACAGATAAAGTTTAAAAAAAACGGTTGTTTATGTCTTAATAACACGCAATTAACTATCTAAGTTTAATACAAGCCAGTTATTTCAATATTTAAGACGCCACTTCAATTATATGTATAATTAATTAATGGTACGGTACATACGGTAACATACGGGTTTGGTGACCTGCGTAGAGCTGTTGGTAACTTCGCGTACCATGCGCGGTGCGGTACGGTCATTGCACGCTACGGTTTGTATGCGAAGAAACAAACTACGCACTTTTATAACGAGAAGTGCTTTTTTTGTCTTTTTTCCACTTTTTTGAGCAGTTTCGAAAAAATATATTCAAAATATGTTCCTGCTCGCAAAAATTGCAACAGTTACATATATACAATTTACTGAAAAAAAAGGGTTTTGGTTTTTTTTTGAAATATCTCAAAAATTAATAAAGAATTTTTGAATGTAAAAAAATATTCAAATAATTTTTTTTAAATTTTTTAGAAATTTATTTTTTAGAAATTTGCTAAAAGAAAGTGCACCCGTAACTGTAGGACCAATATTTATAATTTTCCCAAGAGGGTTAAAATACGGCCGAAAACGGGTACGTTGGCTTACGCAAGCCACACCTAATTTGATTTTATACTGACTGGATAGACGAATGAACAATAATCAGCCGGCAAAAAAATTCAATTCGTCATGCGATAGTTCATTTTTTTATAGAATAAGGGTGACAAACGAGGACACAGTCCATCTGATGATAAGTGGTTGCTGTGGCCCATAGAAATCTTTATATCTATCTTCGTTTGCGAATTAAAATGTATTAAGCTGCTATTTTATGCTGGTATTCTGTGAGAACATGGTCCTTCACCGTTCGAGCCGACCCGTTTATGCTACAACTATACTATTAATATAGCTGCAGCATGGCTCTACCACGTATAAAACGCATAATTAACATTTTTTTTGCCAATTATACCTTTGATTGAACATGAATATCGTGTGTGTCAAGTCTCAAGTGTGACAATTGCTAAATTACAATTAAAGTGATTAATTTAAGTATTTAATTTTACAACGACGTAAATTGTTAATAAAGAACTGAAAAAGAAAAAAAATCAATGGGGGTCATTCTGAAGCTTTTCGAGAATAGCTCCATGGAATGGAAAAAATATTCAGATTTATAGTTTAACAATTATCAAACTTGCAATAAAATTAAAAAATTAAAGTTACAGCCTATATATGGCCTGGGCACAGGCCTCCCCTTATTTCTGAAAGGGTTTTAGGGCAAGGTAATGTCCGCCGCGTTGCCCCAATGCGTGTTGGCGAACTTCATTTTATTTTATCTAGCGGCTGTACGCAAAGTAATTTTTACCATCTTTAATAAATTTAGGCTGCCTTACAGCTTTCATCTTAGTCACTAAGATTACGCATTCTTGACCTTATTTGCTTGAAGTAGATTGCAGGTGTCTATGTGTATGATTTCATGGCGTTTTGCTCTGGGATTTGCAAGCGCTTTTGTAAGTATATTTTTATTGCAAACGTGAGTTGAAAAACACTATTTTAAAACAGTTGACTATTGTGAGGATCAGGACATATGCAAATAACAATATTTCTGTAGAAGTGATCTGACAGCCAATCAAACTTATTTTTTTTATAGGATATGGGTGACAAACGAGCACACAGTCCACATGATGGTAAGTGGTTGCTGCGGCCCATAGATATCATCTATCCTCGATTACGAATCAAAGTGCAAATTCGTTGTCACCCGTGAGGACTAAGATGGAATGCCTCTTTTCCAGTAAAAAGGGGGCTCTACCACGTATTCACTGCCACTACACGGTGGAATTAGATTCAATGTGAAAAAACAAGAAAGTAGAATTAGATTAAATATTTTGCTAATACCTCTATGAATGCTTCCTGGTGGTAGGCAAAGCCCCAAATCGCAGAAGCAGTCAGAGCCATCGCAACCATTTGTGACGTCACCAAAGTATTAGAGAAAATGCGGCCCATGCTGGAAAAGAACCCTGGAAGGTAACCGTAATTGATTTAGTTAAATGGACTATTGATTTAGTTAATAAAATTAATGAACTCTGTTTGTTTTTACAGTTAAATCTGTCTTCAAAGGTCTTAATTTTTTGAACAAGCATTTAGAAAGAACGAATAACAAAATTGTTCGGATAGCAAGAAGCCGCTAAGAATTGTCCTAACCTTTTACACCAAGTTTGTTATTTTTACCTATGTTATACAAATAAATAATTTTGATTTAATTTATGTTATAACAACCGTCTATTGGAGATTTCGTCCTAACTACGATGGTTAAGATTTTAAAAGAGCAGTATAAATAAGTAATTATTAAAAACCAATACAAAAAAAAAACATGGACATCACAATAATCAACAAGTAACACAAGACGCACACAATAACGATACGGGGAAAGCCTTTAGGAGTACTAAACCAGTTTCAGCTTTTTTAAAACACGTATCATTTGCCGCCCTTTTTCCTAAAACATCAGCCCTAATAATACTTTGATTGAGGAAGGAAGTGTGGCCTCTTTCTCTGCTGCCAAAGTGTAGTTATGGAGGACGAGGATTCTCTAAGCTCCACGACCGTAATGTGGCTGCAGACAAAACCATAAAATCTAGAACTAGAAAGGTTGTTGCTCCCGAATACTCGTGTTAGGTGGATTGTGGAGGGGGAGAGGTCGAAATGTAAAAAGAAAATACCATTATACTCTAGAGCGACTACTGGGAACAGAGAATTGAAGTATTAAAAATGTCAAAAAATAATCAGCTAAAATCGTACATCATAAAAAAAAATATATCTTTATTGCCACATTTGAAAAACAAATTTACATATTAACTTATTTTATTTTATACTGCGGGTTTTAGATAATTAATTATTAACATTTTAAATATCATGGATTTCGGCAAAGTTATGTCTGATTCTTAATTAATGGTTGTTTAACTAATAAAAGTATTTGCGACCTCATTCTGAATTTGGACTATTTATTAATATGAGATAAATCATAGAGTTATGATTTTGCATGATTTTAATGCATTCATTTATTAATTTCTTTTTCTACATTTGTGCCAGTTTATAACAGAGTAGAAAAAAACAATTTTATTCTATTATATTCTATTGTATTCTGCTCCAAAGGTGCAAAATATATAGTATGGTGCTATCTTCAAACCTTATCAAAAGCATAGAAAGGAGGCCATGTCCAGTATAATTAAATGTTAAACACAAGTACACAATCTACTTGTTAAGATGTTGTTGTAGCACATAGACACACCTGCACCTACATCTTATCTACGACCAAGAATCAAAATACAAATTGCATTTACATCCCAAAAGCTTAAGCTTGAATAACTCGTGTAGGCGTCAGAGGAAAAGGGAGATCTCCCGCCGGGTAAATTGATCGGACCGGGGAGCGGTCAACGCTCCATGTATTTCAGAACTGTTCTATATATAGCGCGATAACTTCGGAACTTGGATAGCGCGATTCAGGCTTCGGTGCGTTTCGCTTGTGGTGCGGTGACAGCGCCGTCACACTCGTAACCAGTAAAATGGGTCTCCAGCTATCGTCACTCATTGCACAAACATATAAAACGCAGCAACTTTGAGAGTATGGTTTAGTCTCCATTCGTGCAGCAGTTATAATTCCTACTGCTGCAGCCTACATCGTCATCCTAACACATTTGTTGAAGCTGTCGCAGAACCAACGTTTATAAAAATGGCAAATATCAATTACCTAGTATTTAGTTTCTAATCTATCTTCCATTGTATATTCCCTAATGAAATCAAAATCCAAATATGGGTAAAAAATTCGAAAGAATATTATATTTTCAGCCTATTTTAAGACCCCAAATAACACGTATATACTTAAGGACATTTAATTTGTCGCAATTAGTACGTGTTGCAAACTGTTTACGAACCAATATGACAAAGAAATACTTTGACTACATTGTTATTTATAATTAAAATAAGTATATAAAATAATATTGAATGTATATGATATGATTTTTTATAATATATGTTTAAAAGTTAGATAATTCGAAAATTGTTTAACCCTCTAGTGTTGCTATGTTCTTGTAGGGCGACATATGTATATCTATGAATAATGTACCATCTTAAAGTATATATAACATACAGTTAATATTTTCAATTTGGTTGGCGATGTTTTTTCAAACGCCGAATATTTTAGACGTTTCTGATACCATTCTTGGAGCGTTAATACCCGACATTTCATCAACATCATCATTACAGCCCTTTACAAGTCCACTGCTGAACATAGGCCTCCACCAAGGAATACTAAAAAGCACGGTCCCGAGTCACCTGCATCCATTGACTTCCTGCATGTCTTACCAGGTCGTCACTCCATCTAGTGGGGGACGCCCTAAGCTTCGTCTGCCGGTACGAGGCTGCCACTCGAGAACCTTTCGTCCCCATCGGTTGTCGGTTCTTCGAGCTATATGGACGACCCATTGCCATTTCAGCATACTAATTCTGTGGGTTACGTCGGTTACTCTGGTTCTACTGCGGATATCCTCGTTTTTAAGTCTATCACGCAGAGAAACGCCGAGCATAGCCTTCTCTATAGCTCGCTGAGCGACTTTGAGCTTCCTCATACGGCCAGCAGTGAAGGACCACGTCTCAATTCCATAGGTCATCACTGACAACACGCACTGGTTGTACAGTCTCGTTTTCAATTTTTGAGGTATACCTACCGGGAAGATGTGCCGTAATTTCCCGAACGCTGCCCAGCCGAGTTGAATCCGTCAATTGACCTCTCGGTGGAAGTTGGACTTACCTAGTCGGACTATTTGTCCCAGGTAAACATATTCGTCCACATCTTCGAGCTTAGTGCTCCCAACAACTACCGACATAGGTGTGACATGGAGGTTAAATGATTGATGTTTTGTCCATGTTCATCTTAAGACCTATCCGTTGGAAGTCACTATTGAGGTCATTGAGCATAGTGCTTAAGTCCTCCAGCGATTCTGCCATAAAGACTATATCGTCGGCAAATCGAAGGTGAGTGATTACTCGCCCCAGTGGTGAAGAGTTTCGGGGATATTAAGTCATCCTGTCTTACACCTCTCTGCTGCTGTTACATACATACATTAAACTCACTATACGGTGTTAATGGGATACTTCAACGCAAAACTAGGCACAAGAGAAAACGTTGAGCTGAAAGTAGGGAAATTCGGATTAGGGTAACGGAACCCAAGCGGCCAGCAGCTGGCCAACTTCATGGAGAAAAAGGGACTCTTCACGATGAACTCTTTCTTCCAAAAGAGCTCCCACAGGAAGTGGACCTGGTTAGCACCGACGGTTCGACATAAAATGAGATTGACTTCATTATGACGACTAGACGGCAACTGTTCAGTGATGTCTCAGTGATCGCGAGGGTGAAAACTGGTAGCGATCGCCGAATGGTTAGAGGCACACTGAACCTAAACGTTAAATTGGAGAGATGTCGTCTAATGAAGTCAACGCTCTGTCCCTTTCATGCTCTAATCCAAAGTCCCGAAAACTTTCAGCTCGAGTTACAAAACCATTTTCAGTGCCTAGAAGATTGCAATGCAGTGGACGATATGAATGACAAGCTCGTGGAAACCCGACATTTATTACAAATTAATGCCAATACAACTTCACTCAAGGCAAAAAGCCTCGCTCACGCGGCCTCGGTGCTTCGCGAAACCCAAGCCGCAGCGAAAGCGTAATAAAACTCATTGTATGTACTCTGCCTACCGCTAGGAACCGATCTGACGACTTTAGGAACGAAAGGCGAAGTCTCACTTCGATCATCCCTCGGGATTGGTGCCAGTTCCTCCGTTTTCGGTGCTTCCCTCGGCATATTCATTATCACCTGTAGAGAATTGATCGATAGGCCGATAGCGATTAACAATATCTGAACTGTCATATTTGTTTCCAAAAATTCCGTCAGCATAGTGTAGCCCACGACGAAAGCCAACATCCGGAATGTTGTAAGGATCCCTGAAAAAAATTATAGATGAGAATAGTATTTCTAGCCAAAGAAAGAAATAAGACAGATAATAGAAATTGCTCCTTAAGAATCGTTTCTTAAAGAGCAAACTGTATAAAAATAGATGGGTTGTAAAAACAAGCAAGCAATATAGTAGTTTATACGTGGTAGAGCCATGCTGCAGCTAAGTATATTAGTAGTATAGTTGGGGCACGAGTTGGCTCGACCGGGGAAGGAACACGTTCTCACAGAATACCAGCGTAAAATAGCAGCTTAAAACTATATGTTTCGTATGGTGAGTGTAGAGAACCGGAGACCCTTTTTATTGGAAAAGAGGCATTTCATCTTAGTCCTCACGGGTGATAACACATCTGCATTTTGATTCGTAAACGAGGATAGATGTAGATATCTATGGGCTACAGCAACCACTTACCATCAGGTGGACTGTGTGCTCGTTTGTCACCCTATGTTCCTCTGAAGACTAATATGGAATGCCTCATGGTATGCTTTGGGGCGATGTATACGCTTTTACAACAAAATCCCAGAAAATATACAAAATTTAACCTGCTCAAAGTTCGAAAACTTTATTAAACTAAGTTTGTTTGAAAAGGGTTATTATAATATTAAGAAATTTATGGATGATAATAACCCCTGGGAATGAGGTGATCGCTACCAAGCTATTTCTAATTTGTTTGTGTAACATTTTAAGCTGTTATTAAAAAAAAAGTCCCGCTGGGTTTCTTGCTGGTTCTTCCCAAGACAGAGGCTTTTTCGAAACTGTGGTAATTAAACAAAAGAGTGACTTTCAATAAGTATTATTTATAATCAAAATTGAATAAAAAGTTTCTGTTTCTGTTTTATTTTCAGTAATAAGGACCGTATAAGGCCGTATAAGAATAAAATATCACCTTACGATCTGTTTTTATAAATTTTATTATTTCTTTGAACTTATACACTCAGCGTTTTCTAAAGAAATCTTAACTGTTGCTTCATAGTTAAAGTAACAAACTTTTTTAACACCTTTGACAAAATTATTAATGTCCCTAACTTGAACGGGCGTAATAAATCTAAACTTGCTATACCAAAGTAGTTATGGCCATGAATTCACGGCTCATGCAAAAAAGTAAATCAGAACCAAACACACTTCATGAAATGGAACATTTGTATATTACTTTATTTCAGTGTCCCTTCCTCTGGGACATGAAAATTATATAAAACAGTTAAATAAAAAGTCACTTACCAAAATGCAAGGTCATTTTAGAAGGTGCGTGCTCATCAATGTAAGCAGTCCCGTGAGAGAACACGATAAGTCTCGTTACACCAAAGAAGATGAACGTTAATATAATAATTGGCAATCTGAGCGGAATGTTGGAGCCACTACCGATGTCTGGAGACGTGTTGTTTATTTTGCAAAACTCTGTAATAATTGGGAATACTTTAAATTGACTGCAGATTGATGCAAATTTAATTTAATTTAATTTTTGTAGTGAAAATTTGTTTAGCCGCGTTGAGCGATTTTTGGTAGAGAAAAACTTATGCGTTCGCGCCACCGATGTCCTCGACTAATACGCGTTGTAAATCTGGCTTGCGCCAGATTAGCGACGAGTATTATAGCGGCTTGTCTACATGTATACGCAAATATCATTGATTTTCCACTTCTGTCGACAGTCCTTACGACTGTCTCTGTTTTTTTTTTCAATTTTTTTAAACGTTACCTCCACACTAAGATTTTCTCCTGTGTCGTGGAGGCAGTTTACAAACATAAATTGCACGAGGACAAACATCCAGACCCGGAAAAATTATTTGTAGGCCATACATATACTTGTTCCGTGCGGAACTCGAACCCGCGGCCCCCAGCGCAACAACTCATTGCTAAGCCACTGCGCCACGGAGCCGATAACATCTCTCTCGAACATTATTTCTAATATAGCGTACACACTATCCTCGCGGGCGAGTCCAACCTCAATAGGCGTTGTTGAAAACCAACGCTACCGCAACCACGCGATAGCATTATGTTGATTCAGTGCCCTTTTCATCATAACATCACTTATACAATCGGATTATTTTATGTCTGTTCACTTTTAATTATTTTTATCTTTGATGTTTTTTTGTATCATTTTATTTTCTCTAACAAAAACGTATGAGTAAAGCATCTTATTCACGGTCCATCTTGTTATACGTACCGCCAAGGTCTTGCAAGACGCACGATGCAAAACGACAATGAGCAAACTCGACGTACGTAATTATTCGTTGTGCATGACTATTGCGGGACGTACAACAAGATGAACTGTGAATAAGTCGATTATGTCTATGTCAAATTCTTATTTAAATGGTCACACATAACTGTAGTGAAAGTATTGTCAATATTATTTCTTAATTTATATCTATATTTTACTACTGGTAATTTTAATTTTTCCTATCGTATGTTGGCAGAGTAAGTTAAGTCATTACCGCATTTCATTCCGTAAATAGTTGTAGCTAATATTGGAAATGCTAGATCACAGGGTCTCTTATAGATCATAATATAACTATCTGAAAAATGATAACATTTTCATTTCCAAACCTCACAACCAGTGATGGGAGCTATTAACTGCAATTTAATTGGTTTCTTCTAGAAAACTTCTAGTGTCTAATAGCGAGAAATATTATATCTCTTCCATCATCAACTGCACAAGTATCGACTGCATAAGGACTGGGCCTCTAAAAATGTATTGGCGTTGGCGACCCTTTTCCTTATTATAAAAAAGATTCTTAGTTATTTAAAGGAAATTAGTTCTCTTGTTTCTATTTTGACTTTTAATTAAATTCTCTCACCAGGAAATACAAAACCTCCTTAAACTGCAAACTGAAGAAAGGAAACTACAAAAGAAAAACAAACTTAAAAATATACGTACCAACACCTTCACTTCCCACATGCACCTTTGGTAGAGCGAACCACAGAAATGTGAAGACTGCGGTCACAAAGCACGCTACCGCCAACATGATTCTCCGTCTGTTTTGCCCGACCCAACCAATAAAAGGTGCTACTATTGTCTCCAGCACTGCTAGGAGTACAATAAATAGATCTGCAAGACAATCATTGCTTATGTTTTATTTATTTCTCTATTAATGTGAGGTTATTTAGATTTAAGTTAGTCAAGGACCATTAATGTTATAAATTTTTCGTTTTGTTTTTTTTTAATCTGGTTTTCCGGATAAAGTATAGCCTAGATACCTGCTGTCCTGATCTTACTCTCTATCTGTTTGTAAAGTTGCATTACAATCGGTACAGCTACTCCGAAGATTCGCCAATCAGACAGACAAACAAAATTTTAATAATTTAAAATTAAAAATTTCGTACAACCGACTTCAATATATATTATTAAGGATAACTTAAAACCTATTGTTCACACCTTGATCAAATTTATATGGGACCACATGTGAAGCACCAGCTTTCAAATAAATCCCATATAAATTCGATCAAAGTCTGACGAACAGGTTTTGAGTTATTCTTAATGATTTGTATTGAAGTCGGTTGTACAAAATTTTTAGTTTTAAATTATCATAGCTCTAATCCCTGAGCTACGACGACGCGATCCCTTAAATTTCATAGTACGTGAGCAAACCGAGTTTGACCTCCGTTGGATGTGGAATTCTTTACCTTTCAACGTCAATTGTGTTAAATCTCTTACTACTTTCAAATTTTGTTAAAACGTACCTACTTAGAACGCATATAATTATATCTTTACGTAAGTTTCTAAATCAGAAAGATTTTTGTAAAATTGATCCATAAGGAAGAGCACTGTTGCGTGAGGTACAAGCTCAATGCTTAGGTTCAGGCGCAGATGCAAATGTATGTTGTTGAAATTTTTTCCTGAATAAAGGAGTTACTATTATTAAAAGAAAAATTATAAATTATTTTAAACTTTCATTTTTATACTTTGACCGTTATTATTTATATGCATAATATATACCTATATATCTTTTTTTCGAACACCCTACTCTACTTTAATCTTTGTTTGATTCAGTTCTTTGCACAAACATTGTCTAGAAGCTGGAAGAGATCAATTTCAGAGAGATAAGACCGCCGCCTTTACGCTTATTTAAGCCGTATTTCTATTCGTATTCTTATTGCGGTGTACAATACAAAATTAAAAAATAAAAACACGTGAACAGTACCGTAGAACGTTGAGATCTGAACATCGGCAAATTTCTACTTGCACAAATGTTTGCTTTGACTCTAAATTCGACCCGCGTAAAAGAAATGTATTTAATTAAACACTTGGACAAATTTGGAGTTATTGGTAATAAAGAGATGCTTAATGTCTTACTATGTAGTGATCGCGTCCGGGAATCTACTACCTCAAATCATTCCGAGGGCGTCGAAAAAAAAATCCAGGAGAACATGGGCATCAGCATCTTTCTGATAACAAGTCTCACAGAATACCAACGTAAAATAGCACCTTAATGCTGCTGTGTTTCGTATGCTGAGTGTAGAGAACCGGCAGCTCTTTTCACTGGAAACAAGGCATTCCATTTTAATCCTCACGGGTGATAACGCATCTGCATTTTGGTTCGTAATGGAGGATAGATGTAGATGTCAGTGGACCGCAGCAACTACTTACCATCAGGTGCACTGTGTGCTCGTTTGTCGCCCTCATCCTATAAAAAAAGTCAAAAATAATAAGAAAACTGTGGTTGCCAACATGTCTATCTATGGGAAAGAAAGGTAAAGAGGCAATCTATGAGAAGGCCTATGTTCAGCAATGGACTTTTGATAGGTTGTGATGAATGAATGAATGAATGAATTGCCTACCTGTCATGTAAGGCGGAAGATGCCCTGCGGTGACGTCCTGCCTGAGGAACCTGTACGCACAAATTTCTCCGAGCGTCACCGAAATTATAGCTCCCATAAGACATCCTCTTACTTTATCCACAAGCACTTCTGTACTGAAGAACCAGTTCTTGAATCCGGTTTTCACTGGAAATGAAAATAACTATTAATTAGAAAGAAAAAAAAGAAACAAAGAAACATTTATTTTAATTGAACATAATATTTAACTTGTTTTCAAGCTTTAAGGTATACGTGAGAAAAGATGTGTCGTTAAATTTATCTGGTACAGCCATGTTGCAGCTATATTATGATTGTAGCACGAATAGGTGGGCTCGACCAGGACGCTCACAGAATACCAGTGTAAAATAACAGCTCAATACTGCTGGGTTTCGTATGGTGAGTGTAGAGAATCGGAGTCCCTTTATACTGGATACGAGGCATTCCATCTTAGTCCTCAGGGTTGACAACGCATCTGCATTTGATTCTTAATAGAGAATAGATCTATATGTCTATGGGCCGCAGCATTCACTTACCATTAGGTGGGGTGTGTACTCGCTTGTAACCATATTGAGTTGAATCCTTCAATTGACCCATCGGGCAAAGGTGGATAATTCTAGTCGAACAGTTTGTCGTAGACATACTTACGTGGTAGAGTCACGGTACTGGTATATTATAGTAGTAGCACGAATGGGTTCGCTATGCCAGGGTAGGACCACGCTCTCAGAAAATACTAACGTAAAATAGCAGGTCAATGCTGCTGTGTTTCATATGGTGAGTGTAGAGAACCGGAGACACTTTTAACTGGATACGAGGCATTCTATCTTAGTCCTCTGGTATGACAACGTATCTGTACTTTGAAGTTGAACATTTTTAGTCGCACAATTTTTCGTAGGTAAACACACTTGTCAACAACTTCGAGCTTAGTGCTCTCAATAACTATCGGCACACGTGTGACATGGTAGTTAATAATGATAATAATAATGATAAGTTAATAATTGAGTCTATGTTTTGTTATTGAGTTTATAAAAATTGCATCCTCATCAATAATAGGAGATGGAGATAGAAAAGGAGACTTGCGTAAAATGCTTTCGACGTTTCGTCTCCGGTAAAAAGATCTGGGTTAGATTTGTTATAAAATTATTTAACTATTATTTTAACAATTTAGTATAATAGCGCTGTAAGAATGTCCACTATTCCATATCATCCCGAGGGTGTCGCAAGAGACGATAGAGGGAAACTGAGACAAGGGAAGATAGGCAGCAGCGTCTTCCTGATAACAACCAAAAATAATAAAATGTACAGTTGCCTACCCGCATTCCAGGCGTGGTAACTATGGCAAAATCTCCCCCAAGAGGAAAGTTATAAGGGAAGGCCTATGTTCAGTGGTAGACGTTGATAGACAGGCTGTAAAGGATGGATGGATATTTTTAACACCATGTATGTTTTTAAAATTATTTCATCGTACACTAATAATTGAAGACGCTATGCGTAAAATTATCTATCAAACCATATCATAAATATCGTAGTTATCATATTTATCGTTCATAAATAAAACAAAAATATTATTTTGCTGATTTATAACTTAATAAATGATAATATTGTACTTCTAATAGAACTTTGGTCACGACGGCGAGAATCAAAAGAGAATAATTAACTGCGTAGTACAAGATTACAAGTAAAGTTCACGAGTATGTGTGCAAGCACAGGTGTATGAATGGAAAGAGATCAGGCGTAAGACACCGCCAACTTCCTGACTTTATTAAAGAACTAGCTGTTCCCCGCGACTTCGCTCGCGTGTTAGGGTTTTTATGTTTTTGCGCGGAACTACTTATGAAATCAGCTACCTGCCAGTGAAAGTCCCGTCAAAATCGGTCCAGCCGTTTCGGAGATTAGCCGGAACAAACAGACAGACAGAGAGACAGACAAAAATTTAAAAAATTATATTTTAGTTATAAGTACCGTATTTGCTTTCATATGCATTTAGTAAAAAAACTGTAATTTTGACATTACAAACAGACACTTCAATTTTATTTATTTGTATAGATAAGGGTGACAAATGAGCGCACAGATCACCTGTTGGTAACTAAATGCTGTGGCCCGTAGACATCGACATTTATCCTAGATTAGACATCAAAATGCAGAAGCTTTGACATCCCTCAGGACTTACATGGAATGCTTCGTTTCCAATAAAAAGAGTATCCAGTTCTCTACACTCATCCTACGAAAGACATCAGTATAAAGTGCTATTGTACGCTGGTATTCTGTGGGGGCGTGGTCCTTCCCCGGTCGAGCCAACCCATTAGTGCTACAACTATAACATAGCTGCAGCATGGCTCTACCACGTGGAAAACTTCGTGCCGCTACTGAGAATTAATTGACAGTTTTTTGCAATAGATAATATTTTTAAATTCTTAATTACAATTTTGATCTATAAAAGATAAACAATTTATCTATAAAAAGAAATAAAAATATTATATACCTTTGGAACAATCTGGAATCCTTGCCCGATGCATTGTCTTCTAGAACTAATCGCCAAAAGTTTCGAATTGGTTGATATAAATTCCACAATTTCTTAACTTGTTTCGTATAATTAATTTCATCCACACCTGTTAATAATAATTGATAAATGCCCATTAATACAATAGATATTTACAATGGAATACATAAAAAAAATATTTTGATAAATTCATCAAACATACGGGCTGTATAAATTTTAAAATTTCCGCGTTAGTCACTTGTACTTCTATCTCGCGTATTGGAACGGTGACAAAAAAACTATTGAAGAGTCTAGCTTACTAGTGACATGATTAGATAAGAAAGATATATAGCAAAACATATATATATATGTTATGGCGATAGTGCTCACTTCCTATATCCCACTTATACGAAGAAAGAAAGAGACAAATATATTTTTTAAATACTAACACATGACGCGAAATGTAAGATAACAATATTGATGACAGAAAACAAATCAGACTTATGTAATTCCTTTTTCTATATTCTACTAAGCCAGCGTTTATCTACAATCCCACCTTATGGTACGGCTCCGTGGCGCAGTGGCTTAGCAATCAGTTGTTGCGCTGGGGGCCGCGGGTTCGAATGCCGCACGGAACAAGTATTTGTATGGCCTACAAATAATTGTTCCGGGTCTGGATGTTTGTCCTTGTGCAATTTATGTTTGTAAACTGCCTCCACGACACAGGAGAAAATCCTAGTGTGGGGGTAAGGTTTTAAAAAAAAATGGTAAGTCGTGATGTAGTTTTAGACTTAACATCTTCACTCTCTTGCCTTGAAGACACCTACACTGTAATCAGATGGAAAGACAGATGCTGGCAACTTATTCCACTCCTTTGCTGTACGCATGATGAACGACGTAGCGAACCGTTTGGTTAGAATACGTGGTAAGTCAACAACGAAATGGTGGAGACTGGCCGGACGTCTGGTTGTCCGATGGTGGAAGGGAGAGGGAGGAATTAAATTATGCAATTTCTGCGCACTCTCCGAAATGCATCCCGTAGAAAACCGCAAGGCCAGGCTACTTTGCGTCTGTATTTATGTATCATCCATTACATCCTATAAAAGTCCACTGGCTCATGGGGTGATTTTGTCATAATTGCCAAAGCGTGGTAGGCAAGTTGGCAACCGCAGTTTTTTATAATTTTGAGTTTTTTTTTTAAAGAAGATGCTGCTGCCCTTCTCTTGTTTAAGTTTCCCTCTGTCGCCTCTTACGACAACCACGGGACGATATGGGGTAGAAGATATTCTTACACCGCCATTATTTTTCTTTTTTTATATAAGATAGGGTGACAAACGAGCACACAGTCCTGGTGGTAAGTGATTGCTGCGGCCCATAGACATCTACATCTATCATCGATTACAAATCAAAATGCAGATGCGTTGTCATCCATCCTACTAATATAGCTGCAACATGGCTCTACCACGTTAATTACACAGTGTAATATCGTCTTCTACCGAATTCAAACAGTAGGAGGTACTCAATTCGACTGTATGTTTTTTTATGTGTGTTACTTCATAACTTCTTTCTGAGTGAATCAATTTCGATGATTCTTTTTTTATTTGAAAGCTGGTGCTTCTCATGTAGTTCCGTATAAATTTGATCAAGATGTGACCAATAGTTTTTGAGTTATTCTTAATAATTTATATTGAAGTCGGTATGTACAACATTTTTAAATTTTTACCAAAAAAATTGTCTCCTTTATTTTTAATCTGTTTTTCGTTTACTTTTTTTAATTTGAAATGTGGAAACTTAATTAAAACTTAATTTAACTTAAACTTAATTTAACTTAAAATTACTTAAAACTTAAACTTTATAAAGGTTTAATTGTTACATTAATATCTATTTTAAATCTTAGCTGTAAGTTTTCCGAAAAAAATAATTACATTAGCACTTAAAATGGTAGCTAGCTCAGCTAAGGCTTCAGCAAATAGATACAGCGCCGATTTCTAAAAACTTCTTAGATAATACAAATATAATGCCGTATTTACGTATTTCTGAGCTCTGAAGTGAACAAAATAGCTCCCATTGAAAACTAAACTACTTGAATAAATCAAAGAAACATTTTAGGTGATACAAATAATTAATAAAATTTGTAGAAATAGAATAAATACGTCTGCGATTTTCAATTAGAAGAGACAAACATTAGATCTTATACAAAACGTGGCAATTTGTAACGAAAGATGTCCTTTAGCCGCGGCGCTACAGTATTCACGAATTTTTTTATAGGGTGACAAACAAGCACACAGTCCACCTGATGGTAAGTGGTTGCTGTGGCCCATAGACATCTACATTTATCCTCGTTTGCGAATCAAAATGCAGATGCCTTGTCACCCGTGAGAACTAAGATGGAATGTCTCTTTTCCAGTAAAAAGGGTATCCGGTTCTCTACACTCTCCATACGAAACACAGCAGTGTAAAGCTGCTATTTTACGCTGGTGTTCTGTGAGAGCGTGGTCCTTCCTCGGTCGAGCCGACCCATTCGTGCTACAACTATACTACTAATATAGCTGCAGCATGGCTCTACCACGTATGAAAATATTGACATTTGCTGTTAAATTCCCTTTAGTTTGTTTGTCCGCTTAGATTCCACAGAACGTCATACAGTTTATGTGATGGTAAGTGGTCACTGCAGTCGCTGGTCACCTGCAGCCAATTTCTAACAAAGAAAACTACAGATACGTTTTTTTGTAGAATAAAAATGACAAGCGAGCACACAGCCCACCTGATAGTAAATGGATGCTGTGGCCCATAGATACCTACATCAATCCTCGACCCCTGAGGACTAAGATGCCTCGTATCCGGTAAAAAGGGTCTTCAGTTCTCTCTACACTCACCATACGAAACACAGCAGGATTAAGCCGCTACTTTAAGCTGATATTCTGACAGAGCACGGTCCTTCCCCAGTCCGGTCGACCCATTCGTGATACCACCTTAATATAGCTGCAGCGTGGCTCTACCACGTAAATCACGCGTACCAAGTAGCCACCTTCAAACGAAGAAAACTACAGATGCGTTGTTACCTCTGAGGACTAAGTTAGAATGCCTCACAGTCTGTGATTATCCTGGCCCTCTTACTCTTCAGAGGTTTGGCTAGAAATTGACCGGTGGTGGATTGCTGCTCTTGTATTATTGTTTAAATAACGGTTCCAAGTGTATTTTGATATGTAAAAGTAGTGAGAATTTGTGTATTGTGTCTGCGCATGTGAACTATTAGTGGAGATGGTGAAACAAGTGCTCTGATGGTGATGTGATTCTCAAAATATGGCATCTGTCTGGTTAGGCGCCTTGAGACACTACCGCCAACTATCAGTTGCTCAAGTTGCCGTCAAAATCTCCCAAGGGTTGCACAATGTATGCATCAAGAGATTGTGAAGCAGTGCACTATGAAGAATAATACATTGTAACTTCGGGCTCAGAAGGGCTAGAATCCAGAGCCATAAAGCCAGTTATAAAAAAATCTATACTCTTCAGACGGGATCACAGCAGTGCAAGCTGCTATTAGTGGCAGGATTAGGTAAGAAGGTGGTACCCAGACGGACTTCTGGGCAGAACAGGAAATCTACTACTAAGTAATTATCTACACTGTTTAGTTTTTTACAGTTTTTTTTTATAGAATAAGGGTGAAAAACGAGCACATAGCTCACTTGATGGTAAGTGGATGCTGTGGCCCATAGACATTTACATCTATTTTCGTTTGCGAATCAAAATGCAGATGCGTTGTCACCCCTGAGGATTGAGATAGAATGCCTGGTTTCAGTAAAAAAGATGTCCGGTTCTCTACACTCACCATACGAAACACAGCAGCATTAAGCTGTTATTTACGCTGGTATTCTTTGAGAGCGTGGTCCTTCCCTGGTCGAGCCGACCCATTCATGCTACAACTTAGAGACCCTTTTTTTGTAAACGAGACATTTTAGTACTCACATGTGACAACTCATCTGCATTTTGATTCGCAATCAAAAATAGAATAAATGTCTATGGGCTACAGTAGCCAATTACTATCTGGTGGACTGTAGTATACTCATTCGTCACCTTTTCCCTATAAAAAAAAATATTGATCTATTATCAACAAGAGCTTCTGCTCAATTATTCCATTAAGTCAGTTGTTCCTTATCAGGTCCACGTTTCGCAATTCAATGATAAAAAAATCTATTACAAATAATAATATGTCGTTGTAACATTTTATTATACTATTTTATTAATGAAACGAGGTTTAAGACCCACGTTTTATTATTGAACTAGCTGTTCCCCGCGACTTTTCTTTTGTTAGGAACCCTAATTATTTTTCTAAAATAAAGTTAGCCTAAGTTACTCCGTATGACATCAGATATCTGCCAGTGAAAGTCCCGTCAACATCAGTCCAGCCGTTTCGGAGTTTTGCCGGAATAAACAAATAGGCAGACAGACAAAAATTTAAAAAAGTGTATTTTTGTTATAACTACCGTTTATACTTTCATATGCATTTAATAAAGCGCTGTAATTTTGACATTACAAACAGACCCTTCAATTTTACTTATTTGTATTTGTATAGATCACGTTATATTATTAATTATCAACCCGCCCCAGCTTCGCCTAGATATTATTTATTAAAATGGCGTTGTTTACATTTAAGATAAAGATCATTTATTTTATCACGTGGTAGAGCCATGCTGCAGCTATATTAGTAGTAATATGGTTGTAGCACGAATGGGCCGGCTCGACCGGGAAGGACCACGCTCTCACAGAATACCAGCGTAAAATAGCAGCTTAACGCTGATGTGTTTCGTATGGTGAGTGTAGAAAACCGGAGACCCTTTTTACTGGATACGAGGCATCTTAGTCGTCAGGGGCGGCAACGCATATGCATTTTGATTCTTTATTGAGGATAGATGTAGATGTCTATGGGTCACAGCAACAACTTACCATCAGGTGGACTGTGTGCTCGTTTGTCACCCTATCCTATAAAAAAATCAACGTTTTGTCTCTTTTTTAAATGTCCTAGTTTTTGAAATAAAATATGTCGCAGATGCGTTATCACTCTTTAGGCTTCAAACCGGGACACGGCAGTGCAGACTTTGTTATTTGAGAAACGTAACAGTTAAAAGGACG